AGTCAGCTGAAGCTTAGAGAAACTATGTTCTAGTTTAAATGACTTCTTCTCTTCAAAGTCAATAGGGTTCAAGGAAATGTTGATTGTTTTCAGATTGTCACAACACAATGTCACAACATCTTGTGTAACATTGTACTCAGGGAGCATCTGTTTTGACCAGATGTTTTGAGAACAGAATTTATTAGACTTGTTATTTCCAACATCCTTGTCAAGATGACTTAAGGTTCTGACAACACATCCTTCTTCAAGTTTATTTGCCACATCACAGATATTATCAACCTGTAGTTTTGGAGTTCTTCTGACAGCTTCCATAGAAATAGCTCTTTTCATTCTTCTTAGATGAAGGAGACCAAGCTTATGCTGCCACAGTTTCATCTCTTTTTCTTCTTTGATGATTTGACACATAGTGGAGATATCAGTGTTCTCAGGCTGCCACACGTAACAGTTATCTTTGGATCTGATTCCTCTCATTACAACTTCTAGTTTTTCATTAATTACTAGACATTCAGATCTTGAGAAGTTGACCTTGAATCCTAGATCACATAATTGACTGATACTAATGAGATTAGCAGTCAACCCTTTTACCAGCAGTACTTTATTCAGACTTGGAACTCTAGGGCAGTCCAAATTACCAACTCCTTTGACTTCACCTTTAGCACCATCTCCAAAGGTCACAATACTGGTGGTGTGAGGCATAACATTATTGAGGAGATTTTTGAATCCAGTCATGTGTCTGGAACATCCACTGTCAAAGTACCAATCTTCCTTTGCAGAGACCCTCAGGGAAGTGTGAGCTATCAGTGCAGTAGCCTTTTTCTTCCATTTAGGAGCATGTGGTACCTTTTTAGACTTAGGTTTGACACCTGAGTTCTGATTAGGATATCCATGTAGTCTGAAGCAGAAGGGCTTTATGTGACCATATCTCCCACAATGATGACATTTCCATCTTTGGTACCTTTTCTTCATATGTCTCTGTTCCTGATGTTGAGAGTTGTGTTGAGACATCTGTTTTGACATTTGCTTACCAGTACCAGATTTCTTTGCTTCCATAAATCCTAGTCCAGATTTATTTCCCACATTTTGTCCAACCTGAAGGATCTCTTCCAATTTGTCTGTTCCATTTGTCAACATCTTGACAGATTTGGTCATTTGATTCAGTTGTGAGTTCAGCAATTGAACTTCTCCTTCTAGATGACTTATAGTTTCAAGATTTTCCCTTTTTTCAGCCTCCAGCTTTATAATGAGTTTTGATTGTTTCTCATTCTGCACACAGACTTCAGCACTTCTGATACACAATTTCTTGTAGGTATCAGCCAGTTCTTCAAATGTCACTTCTTCATCACTAGTGTCACTTTCAGAAGTACAAACACTAGTTAGGGCAGTAACTAGTTTGGCAGATTCTTCTTCAGAATTACTTTCTGAATCATAGTCAGACCAAGTAACAGTCATTCCTTTCTTTTGTTTCTTAAGAAAGGTAGGACATTCAGCTCGAATATGTCCATATCCTTCACATCCATGGCATTGAATACCTCTGCCTTGGTTTCCCTTATCTTCTGACCTTGGTCTTCTGCTGGAACTGTCAATGTCAGAGGGAATGTTATGAACATTAGACCTTGACTTTGGATCCATTCTTTTGATGAGCTTGTTGAACTGTCTTCCAAGCATGGCAATAGCTTCTGATATGTTTTCTTCTTCATCCTCCTTGTATTCAACATCAGTGTTGGATACAAGTGCTATGCTTTTGTTCTTCTTGTCACCATTATCAGTGATCCCCATCTCAAAAGTCTGAAGAGACCCAATAAGTTCATCCACTTTCAACTTGCTAATGTCCTGGGCTTCCTCTATGGCAGTTACCTTCATTGCTAATCTTTTAGGCAAGGATCTGAGAATCTTCCTCACCAGTTTTTCTTCTGACATCTTTTCTCCCAGTGCTCCTGAGGTGTTGGCAATCTCCAAGATGTTCATGTGAAACTCATGAATGTTTTCATCTTCCATCATTTTTAGATTCTCAAATTTGGTAGTCAACATCTGAATCCTTGACATTTTTACTTTGGAAGTGCCCTCATGAGTAGTTTTGAGAGTGTCCCAAACTTCCTTGGCCAGTTCATATTGATGTACTAGTCTGAAAATGTTTCTATCAATTCCATTGAACAAGGCATTTAAAGCTTTTGAATTTCCCAGAGCTAACTCATCTTCTTCTTTACTCCAATCTTCCTCAGGCTTCAGACTGATTGTCCCATCTATCTCAGTTATGGTGGGATGAATCCATCCTTTGTCAGCAGCTCTCCAAGCCTTTTTGTCCAGAGATTTTAGGAAGGCAATCATACGAGGTTTCCAGTAGTCATAATTAGTTCCATCCAGAATGGGTGGTCTATTTCCAAAAACTCCTTCTTTGTCCATAGTGCCAGAAAGTGATATCCCTAGATCTCACCCAGTAATACAGGCAGGGTGCCTGCTCTGATGCCAATTGAAATTCTGGCTGCAGATACTCAATGTCACGTTCAATGTTATGACACCGTATCTGACTTACTATATGACAGTAAATACAAAAGCAATAAAGATCTATGCCAATTAATGTCATATCTTACTAGGTATATGAATATTGGACATTCATTGGAGGATCATTGTCACCTTATCATGCATAATAATGTCATATCTTCACTGAAGGATCATTTCTTCCTTACCAGACATACGAATGTTGGGCCCTCACAGAAAGATCTATGCCAAAGAAAATATGACTCAACAAACAGTTGAGGGACTTAACCCACACCACACTTTATGGAATATCCTTAAGAAATGCTTAAGGGTCTGACCTCAAGCGAGGAGTTTATTCATTTATAAAGACAAGAAAAAATAACTTCTCTAGGCAATTGAAATTACAAAGGAAGAAATCCAAATAACATAATGCAAAATCACCACGAAATCTAAAGTTTTTTTAATTAATAAGCCTTAAAGGGAGTGATTAAAAAAGGGGCCACCTAGGGTAGTGATACAATCATCAAAACATAAAAAACATTAAAGAAGTTTAATACTAAGGCTTGGACAATTCAGGTTCCTCTGGAAATCGCTCCTCTTAAGGTGAAGGAGTAGCCTCCAAAGAAGGAATATTCTCTATTTATGATTGAGGGGACGCCTCTTAATCCACAAGGTCCTTTTCATCCATCTACTGGTCTTCCTTTACAACCTCGAAAAGTTCGAGCTCACTGAGATCCATATCGAGATAGAGGAAAACCACCTGAGCCTTCTCTTTTTTGAAGGCTCTATCCTTAAAGGGTGCCATGTGATCCCTTTCATCTTTAGATAAAGGCTCGAAGATGACGTCCTCCTATTTACTGGAGACAAACCAATTCACACTATTACAAAAAGTTACTTAATAACGGTTAGAAATGATATATAATCACGCAGGTCCAGGCGTTGTTATGTAGCATGTGGTTGTGTATGTGTTACTTTCAATCACAGTTCAGTGACCGTAGTAGTAAACTTGAAAGCATGCGCCCTATAACAACGGTTGAGAGAAATAATTGTTGTGATATTTTTTTATGAATAAATCTCATTCATATCATATAAGAATTAGAGATACACCATTTGTGAATTAATATCAAAACTTGTATTACATCAAACTATACATAAGTAGGAATATCAAAGAAGGGAAAAAGATATATGAAAAGACAAGTAGATCTAATCATTCAACAACTCGAGGAATTAAAGAACCAATAATGATAAAACTTGATATGCGTGAACTCTTTTGGATTTTAGACTTTCAAGGATTAAGGAAGAGAAAGAATCATAATAAATAATATAAAATCAGAATTACTCTTTGAACCAGAACACAAAAAGAACTTCATCCAAAGAAATCGGAGAAGAAGAACCAAAATGAGTACTTTTGCTGAAGCTTCCCACAATACTGAGAGAGCTTCCAACAATGCTGAAGATGTTTCGCCTCCTCAGAATCAAGAACTGTTGAGAACCAGGAGAGTTCTTAGGCATATGAGAGCAAGAAGAAGAAGGGTGAGAAAGCAGATGATTTTTTTTCCGATTATGATGATAACGATGAATCAGATTATACTTGGTCAAACTTTCTCTAGGATAAATTATTAAGGTCTTTTGTAATGAAAGTTTATGTAATGAAATTTTAATCTTTCTGTTTAACTTTATGGATTTCTCACTCTCTTAAGGTTATCAACTTAAACTACCAGCTTAAACTATCAACTACAAAATATATCAACTAATATACACACATGTTCAAAAAGCTGAAATAACAAACAAATAACTTTAATTGAAAATTCAACAGTTTGCGATGAACTTACTCGTAATAAATTGTCTAATAGTTGCATTCCTGTCAATTTCACTACATCTGCAGTTTCAACATCAACAATGCAATTCAAACATTACTTCAACTATTACATTTCATAACAAATTAAACATTAAATATAAAAGAGACAAAAAAATATAACATCTTCAAACTTCCATAGAATCTCTCTGATTTCAGTTTGTTCTTAAAATTCTTGTTCGTCTTCTTTGAATCTTCATACATAACCTTCAAATAACCCATAACTTCCACAACTTCCAACTCTGACTTCATAACTCTTACTTCATTTTCACCTTTTTCTCCCATGCCTTCATCCCATATGAACAAATTACATGTCTCATCACTCCTCCAAAATGTACATCTCCACAAAATCCTTCCTTTATTTTGTCCCTTCTTGCATTGGTACGAAACCATACGACCATCACAACCACAAAAATTTTCAGATCAAGATTTTACAGAAGAAGAAGACATAGAAACACATTTGGATGAGTTTAATTTTGTCTTAGTGTCTAATTTTGTTGGTCTAAAAAAATTCCCGATGTTAAAACTAAAACAAAAATACACCAAATACTTAAAATAAATTGAATTATTTTCACACAATCAAACTCAAATATGGCGCTTAAAAAACTACATCAATGCATGCAAATATAGCTACACCACTCTCTCTTACAAGCAATGCAACTAACACTTGTTATTCACTCGCGTGTTTAGAGCTACCCGCTGCAGCATCATCTTGCCCATGAAGGAATTCTTCCAACAACTTGTAGTCCAACCAATCCAATTGATCAAAAGTATCATCATCTTGTTGTTGTTGATAGGAAGAAGAAGAAGAGTAGTTATGCAATATAGTATTTGAAGTTGAAGTAGTGTTTGGAATATAGTAATTAGTAGTAGAATTAGCAAAGTCATTTGGGAAGTTGAGAATGGCTTTGTGACCACGAAAATGAAAAGCAGCAGCATCATAAGCACGTGCAGCTTGTTCAGCAGTATCAAATGTTCCAAGCCAAACACGAGAACCTTTTCTTGTTGGATCACGAATTTCTGCTGCAAACTTACCCCGTGGTCTCCTTCGAATACCTCTATATCTCACCCCTGCATTATTATTAATATTATTACTCCCCTTTCCATCCATTAGTTCAGTTTTTTTTTGTTTTTTTTTGTTGTAGTAGTAGTAGTGTTTGAAATTAATTATAAGGTGGTAATCAATCTTAAGGATAACCAGTATTTATGCAAGCAGTAGTGTTTATGCTTGCTGGTAATCTTAGCTCGACATTCTCAAGGGTCGTATGTGACGGTTTGAATTTCTAACTCCATTAATATTTTATATAAATAAAGTGACCGCTGAGCTTGTGTCAGCTCTTTTTTACTTGTTTTTTATTAGACACACAAATTATATGAAGGAAAGTACACGCACGCACTACGTAAGGTCGGGGAGATCTTTGGTGTGAAAAAAATGCAATTGTGTTTTGTGCTATATTTGTATGGTTTTAAATAAAAAATTTACTATTTTTATAAAATGCAATGTTTCAAGTTCTACTCTTGAGTTTCGGAAAATTTATTATTTTAAAAAAATGCAGTGATACAATAATAGAAATTAGAATTGAATTTTAAGTGATGCAGAACTATTTCAAGAAATTATTAAGAGTGCTTTTGTTTTATGATTTAAAATTATATTTTTTTCTTAATAATATTTTCAGAATTATAGTTCTTATAAATATTATTCTTACTTATAGAAAAATTTAGATTTTTCAAGGGTAATCATAAAATTTGTTTAATCTAATTTTTTTTCTTCATAAAAGTAATAATAATTACAATAAAAACAATAACAAATCCAAGTGGTAATGAAAAATTATAATTTGTTAGAACTTATTCTCAAAGGAATGTACATTCCCACCCTTTAAGTTTTAAAATAAAACTAGATAAAAAATTATGTGTAAATAATTTTTTTGAAAATAAAATATATTTTAAAATAGTTTTTAAAACTTAAATCCAGCACGAGAATATTACATTCTCATTGTTATATTTCAAAAAATATTTTTTAAATTTTTAAACAAACACATCTGATACTTGATAAATATTAATTTTAAGAGTAAGACACTCCCAAAATTTTTATTGTTCAACATATTATTCCATCTGTTAAAATGACTATCGTTTTATTAAATAAAATTTGTTTTAAAATGATTGTCATTTTCACTTTTCAATATAGAAGTGATTGTTATTGTTTTAATTGTATCATTTAATTATTATTCTATACACTAGTTCCAAGACATTAATAAGATAATATAATATTATATTAAGTATAATATTTCATGTCAATATTATTATATTCTTTAATCTATCTACAAAAAATTTAAACGATAATCCTTTTAAAATCGAGAGAGGTGTCATACTCTAATTTTTATGTCGAAGATTCCACATCTCATATCATTAGCATCTAACCCAAGATCACAAGCATGACATCCTCCCAAGGGCAAAGTTTGGTCAACAAGTGGTCCTCAAGAGCTTTTACTTCAAGACATGGCCTATAATCTCAGGTCATATTCATGTCAAGTTTCATTCAACATTATTTCATCAAGAGAAGTTCAAGTTTGGTGCATGATTTCAAAGTTGATTCAAGTATGGTTTATGTGTTTATTTTCATGTCATCTCTATTAAATTCTCAAGCAATTATCAAGATTATTCAAGGGATAATCAAGATCCTTCATTTGGTGTTCAAGTGTTCATCATAGGACCTTTGGGTGCAAGAAAATAACAAATCACAAGTTGTGTATGTTTGGTTCACTTAAAATCAAGTATGACATGTCACTTGGTTCAAACACCATAACTCTCCTATTTCTTAATATTTTTGGAATCTACTTTGAGCCAAAAGTCACATTTGATCTCCTTTATAACATTGTTTCAAGGGTCAAACGTCAATTTTTCTTCTAAGTACCTCAATTTTGGAATTGGACAAGATGGCCATGTGTGTACAAAAGCTGGTCCAAAACTTGGCTCGACCTATTGCCTGACCTAGAATTCATGCCCTGTCATGAACTTGTCATCCATGCCATTTTCAACTCAAGAATCCTTTTGATATGTTTTTTTTTGCATTTGATTCTTCATCACGAGGAGATCATTTGACAAAAAGAACAACTCAAAATGCACAAGTGGATCTTATTTGGCCTAAGCTCCAACATGGTTTCATAGATTCTATATTTTATGCATGACCTATAATTAGAAATCACCAAATCTTCACTTGGGACCACCATCACACATGCAAACTCCTTTGTCCTTGCAAAACGCGTATAGTGGAGTACAAAATGACCTGATTTTTGCCATGCTCACACATTTTACCCTCACTCTCACACATATTGCAAAACAAAATTTTCAACTTGGTTCACACGTTTTAGATTTGAATTCGCATGTACCATGATCTCATTTCATTTTCTATAAATAGAGGACCATTTTTCCTTCATTTGCAAGCTTAGAAAGCCACTGAACCTCTGCCATTTTCACTCACGAAAAGTTTCAAAAATTAGAAATTCAGAATCACTCATTGACACCATCTGAAGCTAACTGAACTATATAGAAGTTTGCAACCTCCTGCAACCTTCAACTCGATTTCACTGTTGTTGATCTTTGAAGCTTCAACTTGAAAGGTACATACAAGTTAAATTTTTGAACAAACAAGTTACCACACTCTTCGTCTTCATTCACTGATTTAAAGCCTTTACTTACCTAAATTTTATTCTTCGTATTTGTCATTTAATTTTACTTTAAAGAACTAGGGTTTTCTATGTTCTTGGGCAAATCTCTTTGTTCAGAACAAATCAATGGTTCTAAAGCAAAGATACATGAACGATGACATGAGTAGAACATTAACCATGTGTTGTTTGAACTTGAAACTCAGAGTTCATGAACTTGCAAAAATTAGAGAAGGTTGAAGACGATGAAGCTCTTCGCGCGTTTTGACAGGAAATTCAAATTCTGGCTAATCAAGATACGCCACACAATTAGTCATTGGCCTTTCTTATTTTGTTTTTGTTTTATTTCATTTTAATTTCCTTTTTCTTTTCTGATTTATTTTAAATAGCTCCTTTGACCTTTTCGCTTTATTTTTTTTCCTAAATCACTAAAACTATTTTCTATTAGATATATTTTTTTCCAGAACTTTAAAATCATTTTTAGCATTTTTTGCTATTTTATTTTTAGTTTTCATTTAAAAATTTATTTTCATGCATTTTAAAATATTTTTTCTTTCCAACTTTTGAGATCTAATTACTTGTAATATTTATGACTTTTTTTAAAAAAAAGGCAATTTATTTGATGTATTGACGCCTCTGTGGGATTTTCCATTTAATTTCCATTTTAAATATTTTTTAAAATCATTTAAAATCATTTTTTTTACTTTTGGATCATAACTTGGTTGATCAATGCTTCATTAGTTTCCATTGGTCTTTGAAATATTCTTTGGTTGCATGAACTTTCATCATTTCAAACTTATCATTTAAATGATCATTTGATTATTTTTGATACTTTAGATTAATGATAAGTTTATCTCATTGTATTGTGAGCTTGAATGAATGAAATTGATGATAGATAATTATCATACCCCAAATTTGCCCATCATTTTCAATGGTCATATTATTTGAATACTAGTGTTATTATGGTTCTAATTTATAAAAGTATTATTTAAAATTGCTTATTTTTTGGATTTTTAGTCTAACAGGGGTTTAAAGTTTAGAGGAAGGTGCATTACTCCCAAATGGACCATCAAAATATGATGGCCCATTAAAGCGTGTGTTTAAAGGTCCGTTTTAAATGATAAGAGAGGGAGGTACACTTTTAGGGTTTATCTTTAAATGACCCATTTGCTTTTTTATTTTGAATTACAAAGGGGTACGTTTTTTTTATCATGATACATATTGAACCATTGAAATATCAAGCCCGGTTGGAGAAGTTGTTGACTAAAGTCAACATTAATTTCAGAATTATCATTTTTATTTATTATATTATTATCAATTTTATTATTATAAATATTATTATTATTATTATTATTATTATTATTATTATTATCAAGTATTATTATTTTTATTCTTGTTGACTGAAAGTCAAAGAGGGCTAAGAGAAACTCTAATTTGTCCCAGCAACATCGTTGTTCTTCATCATCAACCTTAAGCCGCTAAGCAACCCAGAATGCTAAAAAATCCCAGAAATACAGATTCGTAATTCAATAAAACCCAAATTTCCAGAACAAATCTAAATAAAAATGTAATCGAATCTCTAGAAACCAAGTACAATAACTCAACACATTGAACAAATATTAACAAAATCAAATATTTACAAATCAAATCCTAAATTATAAATGAATTTAAATCAGAATTTATTCTAACCTAAATCTTCATCTAATTCTGAAACAAATCTAAGAAATAACGATAAATTATCTGAAAAATTTCCTAATTTAATCTAACCTAAAACACTATAAAAAACCCCTAAAAAACTAAGAACAGGGGGCCGAAAATTTAAAAAAGAAAAAAGAAGAAGAAGAAGTAGAAGAGGGTTGCCGATTGCAAGCTCCAGGCCTCATCGCAAGCTTCAGGCCTTATTGCACGCCCCGCCTCATACGAATTTAAGGTTTCTGAACAGAAACCCTAAAATCATCAAGCTTCGTTACGGGTACCTGCACAAAAAAGGAAGAGAGAGGGATCAAAAACCTAAAATCGAAAGAATCAAAGATCGAGAATAAGCGATAAGAGGTAAACCACTGAACTTATATTTAAGGTTTGATATTGATTTGATTTTTTGTTTTGGAATTAAGGTTCGTAAGAAGGGTTTAGGGTCCAAATTAGGGATTTGGTTTCTGGGTTAGGGCCACCGCTGTTGAAGGTTGTTCTGGGTTCAGTTGGTGTTGTCGATGGTTTCTTTTCTGGGTAAGGGATGATGGTTGTTGTTGTTGTGTTGAAAGAAGAGAGAGACGGGAAGAAGGAGAAATAAGAGAGAGGCAGATTGAGTAATAAATGAAGAAAAAATGAATAAACGAAAAAAGATGAAAGAAATATTTCTCTCTATGATCCCCATCCTTCACGACACATGGCCAATTTGTGGCCACATGATGGATCGCTATACAACGACTCCACACCTCTCCTTTTCGTA